ACACAGGAGATTACCTTACATTAGCGGATTTCCAGACAACACCTGAAATAGATACGTGGGCATGTGTGTGTTCACCATTTAAGAACTCTTATTATTTTACATAATCTGGATCAGTCTGTCCTCCCTTTTTCTCTGCAGAAAGTGGAATGCCTGTTTTCACAACAAAGCACCTTCTGAGTATTTACTGTGTTAGCCTGTCTAGGGTAATCCATACAGACCATTGATTGTAACCCTCTGATGAATAACCTCAAAGTGTGAATATGTATATGAGGCAGATGGTACCAAATATTTTTGCATTTTAACTCCATAATGCAAACCCTCAATATCATAGGTTGAGGTGTGAGTCTCTGCTTAGTCATCCTCACAGGTGAAACAGGAGCAGAAATACGAGTGAGACATGACAGGAAGGACAAACACTTGTGACTAACACCTGCCGTCATCATATTACCAGGATCTTACACTACACTTTTAGTCTCTGTATCCCAACTTGTTGAGCCAAACCAATCCTTAGCACTTGAGTCTATGTTTAGGAATCTGGCAATGTTTTTTTCCCTGTGGTGACAAAACCAGCTCACTTCACTGTTATACAGTAATGCAATTCAAAGTAGTATGGTAATAGACTCGGAAAGGTGCAAATACTTCCCCTGACCCTATTCCTAAATCGATTTATAATGCCCTGATCAGATGTACAAGAGGTGCTAGGAAAGATACATCAGAAAGTGTATGGAACACATGAATAATGTGCACTGCAGAAAAACTCAACCCCCTTTTATTGAACTGTAGCGTGTTTGGAAGTGTGGGCACTGCAGGAAAGCTGAGTCTGCAAGATCTTGATTTGCAGCATTACTGAGGACACAGTAGCTTCATTTGGAGTTGTGGGCGTTTAATAGCCTTGAAAATTGGACTGCAAGAGATGCTATCTAAGGTGTGAGGCATTTTTGTCTGCTGAAAGAAAACCTGAAGAAATTATGCTGGTTTTGTCCAGGGATACAGAGGAAAAATTGCCTTCTATATCTTCTTCAGAAGTCTGTTTCTTGTCAATGTGTCACAATATTCACTCTGACACGAATGAGCAAAATGAGCAGAACTGGACTGTCTGTAAGAGGGACAGTAGGCTGGTTTGGTAATATTGGGTAGAATACTGCAGACCACTGTGTGTTAAGAATGGTTGGATACTGAATTGAGTAATTGAACCCTAAGGAGAGGCACACTTTCCTTTTCTATTTTGATGGTAAACAATTGTCCAAACCTTCCCCAACAAAGGGCTGCAATGGCTAACCTGAAGTAGCCTGAAGGGCCAGCTAATTATATTTAAAAGTGAGTAGGTTGTGCCACGCTCATCTTTAGTGACAGGACAGGTATTAATCACTGATGTTCAGATTGGCTGTTGTGTCTTAAGCTGAGTTGCAGAATGTATCTAAGGGTTACATTTTTCTCCTCCCCCCCCCCTTGGATAGTAGGTAGGATGCTGTCTGCATGGGAGTGTTTTGCAGCCCCTACATAACCCCCGGGCTGTACTTTGGTTAGGGTAATATAAATCCTGTTTCTAGCCACCTGGGATTCTCCAGAGTGTGAAAACACAGCAGGATTTTGCATGCTTCAGCATAAGCGACTTGAGATATGGGACCTTGTTGTGACTGGCTCTATCAGGATGGTGGCAGATGCTCTGAAAAGACCTGGACAACCCGCAGTGGCAGAGGGCACCGGGCCAGCGCCGTTGTGGTGAAGGCTGACTGTGCGAAGGATAAACTGTGTAATTAACTGGAAGCATGTGTTGGGCTTCTTGATGTGCTGCAGTTTCCTTCCAGACATTTTTCTGAAAGAAACTCAGCACACTTGCTGGTGTGCTTGTTTGTGGTCGTCAGCCAGTTCTTCTTAATGTGGATAAATTAGTGGGGCGAACTAGTTATAGTGAGAAGAGGTTTTTTGCCTTGGTGACCATTTCCTGGAAAATTTTGTGTTTATTTCCATCTCTTTTTTGTTTGTTTCAATTTTTTTTGGTGGAGAGCGTGAGGTTATCCGTGATCCAATAAAAGAGCTACGAGCAACCTCATTTGTTCCATCTTTGATAGGAAGCCAGGAGCCCAGGCATTATGAACCAGAAGCGAGGAGGTGTTTAAGTCCACCCAGCTTGTTCAAATGCTTCATTTGCCCTCTCTGCTCAGTCAAGAGCCTTTGGAACACCTATGAAGGAGCCCATAGGCTGGGACAGCTGTGGGCCTGACTGGTTGAGAAGCATTCATTTAGGGAATTTAGGGTGAAGATGAATGATGGAAGAGATAGTTCAGGTTTTAAGTACATCCTTAGGTTTGGAGATGCCGAGTGAAACCAGGCGGGATTTCTGAGCAGATGGGAGCAAATGGAGCTCAAAGGTATTTAATGCAACACAGTGCTCAGGGAAGCATCTGCGGGGAGGTCTCACTCCAGAGAGCTGTGGGAGGCCCCGGCTGGGTGGGACAGCCTGTTCTCACGTCACTGTAATGCACTGTGCTGCCTCTGTGGTCTCAGTTTATAGCACTACACTGGGCTATATGAACACATCCCACATTCTTCAAAGCTTGTCTTTAAGTTTTGCACTATCCCTAGGTCTGAAGGATTTCATTGACTCTGTTACCTTGCGTTTCTTCAGTGCCTCAACAGCTGTGATTGCTTCTCAGGACAGGGGACCTATTCCTCTTGAGGCTTGAATACCACTAAGCAACCTTATGCTCAGCTTTAAGCTATGCTTAGCTTTACCCATCACTAGTTTTCAGCAATCAAATACAAAAGACAGCACACCAACCGAAGCAGAGGCACATTAAGATTTGTAGCTGTCCGACAGAATGAAGAAGCAGCTCTGCTGCTTTCTACTCCCACGATAAAAGGTTTACAGTAAGAGCAAGGCAAAAATAAATCTGAAAATGGACTAAGAGCTAAAGCCTGAGACGAGTTCCTAATTGAGGTATGTTCCCTTTAAGCCAAAGGGAACTTGGACCCTAAGCAAATATCTTAAGCTGTTAAGTATTATATTATTACAGTATAGTTATGTAAGCCATAATGTTCTTCAGTAGGAAAACATGAAGAACACTGCTCAAACTGCGAACTTCAGAAAATGCACAGCTCAGTTTAATTTTACTGCATGTCCCATCGTTCGTGTGCTGTTGGAGGCAGCAAATGACCATTCCATCTTCACATCCCCCGAACCCCTGTTTCAATAAGGCTGTCTCTTGTCTCCTCGCTGGTGACCTCTTCTGAGGCCGCACTCTCCTTCACTTCACCCCTTCTGTGTTCAAGCCCCTCTTTAAGTTTGATCAGCCCTGTGGCCCTTTTCTAGCTTATCTATGTCCTCTGTCAGTGGGAATGACCCAAACTATGCACCCGATTCAAGAAGTCTGAGCACAGTGGCTTTCAGATAGCGTGACTGTATGAGCTCTCTTGTTTCCTATTCCTTTTTTAGTGTTTTCTAGTGTTCTGTTGGGATTTGTCAGTATGACAATACTGACAAGGGAACTGATGATTTTGAGACCTGCCTAGGTCTCTTTCCTGAGGAAGAGATAATTACAGATTCAGAGCCTGTCACTGTAGATACATACTTAACGGTAAATTTGTGCCTATACACAATATTTTGCACGTATCAGTGCAAACATTTTGTCACCTTCTCACTGAATATTATGTGTACCTAAGACATAAGTCTTAGCTGTCAGCTTTAGATGTGATTATTCCGAATAATTTTGTCACGGCGTTATTCACTGCTCTGTCAGGTAGTTTGTGACTAGATTGAGCCTCACAAGCCCCAAAGCACATCTCCAAACAGGAACCTGCTGGCTAACTTGCGACAAAGTGACATTTGTTTCTTGTCTCTAGCTGTGAGGGGAACGTCCCTTCTACCCACTGATTGTTTAGTTTCCAGGACTGCACCATCTAACCTTTTGTAACCCCTACACAACTCTTTTTTTTTTTTCCTTACCCTTTTGCAGCCCATACACAACTGGTTTCCCTTCTGATAGGTCGGAAAGTGTCATAGGGACAGATCAGCTTTTTCTTTGGTTGGCTTCAAAAGCTCTTTCACTGTCAACGCTTGGAAATGAACCATACGATCCCTGTAAGAATCAATTAGGTTTGGCTTTTTGTATGCACAATCTCTTGTATTCTGTGGGTCACGCACACATTTTTTTGCAAATGGGTCATTCTGAGACATATCTTGTAGTAACAGACAACACCAACTGGCAGTTTTTCATCCTGTAGACAATGTGGGCAGCATGAGCAACTACAAACATTTGAAATGGACATTTCTAAGAGTTGAAAATATATGTGAATTCGGATAATTATAAAATAAGTGGCTTTTTAATTGCTCAGACTCTTTAATCACAACCGATTCAGTGATTGTTCTCAGTCATGTAGAACATGGGGGAATTTAATGGCAGATGTGAAGTTAATTTTTGTTCTGACAATATTTCTAGAACAGAATCTGACCAATACCTCCCTTTAGTTTTTGCTCAGTGTTCGATAAAAAGATGAATGGTTTTATGATGGACTATGGGCTTGATTGTCCTGGTAAGCAGCAGCTGCAAAATCTGATGCAGTTCAGTGTGTGACAAAGCTGAATGTCACACACTAATTTGTTTGAATAGAAGCCAAGCTAATATTCCTTGCTGGGGTAAAATGCTCACTGAAATGTTTATATGGAATTCGGATGGCAGCTTCATCATGGAAATTTGGGAACTCCCATTTTGGGTCCATTGAAAAAGCATTGTTCAGGCGTACAAGCTATTTATACAGACATGTGGCATGATAGTGGATATTCCTTTAATCTTTTAGTAATCCGGACATTACCATATGGACAAACTGCACAGATTGATTTGAGGAGGCCTCACTGGACAAATGAATACCCTGCCTGAGTTAATTTGCTGAGCTTTTATGTTAGCGTATCAGGAAAAAAAAAAAAAGCTTTCCAGCACATAGTTTATTTGCAGTGACATATAAAATGAGACTGGTGACAATCAACACATGTTTAAGGCAGCTTGTTTGACAAGCAGCTCGTGATGGTTTGGACAGTTATCTGGAGGGCTTCCTTTCAGTACTTTGTTGCTTGTAGCCAATGCACGCCCTTCCCAATGTGGAACCATCTTTGCACGTACGTATCGGAGAATGCACACAGTTTCCTCTAGCGTTTTGCTTTCAGTGATGTACCTGCATTAATTTTGCGTAATGCCATAATGGGTTATTTAGTTTTGTTATCAACCTCTGCTTTCTCAACCTTCTGTCCTGTAAGGAACTGCCATATTCCTCCTCTGTAGTTCTCATTCCCAAGGGCATACACAAAGGCATCCACTGTTGGCACAGTCTTGGCAACAACGGCAGGAATCTGTCATGAGACACAATGTTTATTAATAGGAAAATGCCCTGAGGAACCAATGGGCTGATTTCAGCACAGAATCAGTTTCCTTTTACCAAACAACACCTGTGTCCAAATGCAGTAACTTGCTACCCATGGAGAGATGAGAGGTAAAAGCAATTTGACTGGTTGGAGGCCCTTGCTCAGGAAATTATAGTCTCCAGGAGAAGGAATTTAGATCAGCATTGCCTGCATCTGGGATATTTCAGTTGAGAGTGAATACAAACATTTAGGAGTGAAGGGTGTGCTGTGGACACCTTCTGATGGAGAAGTGGGCTGATACTGCTAACACATTTTGTGTGGGATACTGAATATCTAAGTACTGTAATCGATTTGGAGACCTGAAACTGGGCTGGTTTTTGGGGACTGAATGAAAATTGCAAGGTTTGATGTGATATTACTGAGTCCCAGAGGCAGTCTTGAAGCCAAGACTCATTAAAAAAAAAAGGAGGAGAAAAGGAGGCAACACAACCTTAAAAGTGATAGACTGCATCTTCTGTAAGGGGAGAGAAGTGTTAGAAAAAATGAATGAAACAAACAATCTCTTAAAAATTTAAAATTTTCAGCTGGTATTTGACTCTGGGAAGGGCACAAAAAGCTCCTATAAACCATGAAGCAGTACAGGCTACAGACCCCTAACTGACTGCCCTGACTCTCTAAACTGTTGCTTGATCAAAGCAGTAATATGCTGCCCGTTATTACCACCGTGCTTAGCTGTTGCGCCATAAGTGGTAGATGAAGAGAAAGCTTTGAGGAAACAATCTGCTCGTTGTATATGTTACGACGAGTAAAGCCAATTGTGAGTGAATTGGCATTGTTCTGTAGGAACAGAGAGGGGAGTCAGGAGAATGTCATTGACTGAATTCCCTCAGGCGGTGTACACGTACCATGCGGTATTTTGGTGAAATGAACATCACGTTTTCAACTGCTGCGTAGAAGCATAAAAGGCAATAGGGACCCCAGCAAATGACCAGCGTCTTCAACGGTAAACCAGTATTAAACTGAAAAACAAGAGGAATAAATTCCTTTGTGTTTCACAACGGCACAGCGCAACGAGCGGGTGGGACAGACCCTGTGAGTCCGTGGTTTGGTAGCAGGAGAGGACCAGACAGCAGGAGATGCTGTACCGCTGCGGCGTTGCTGCTGATGTCGGAGGTGTGCGTACACAGGTCCCTTGGAGTCGAGGGCTGCCGGCGCAGCATGCCCCACAGCCCTGTTCCTGGGGACCACGCAGGGAGCGTGCATGCTACACATGGGAGCCTTGGCCAGTAAATGCTGCTGAGGGGCAAGGGCATTGTGTACACTGAAGAAGAGACAGAAACGAATGATATTTTGCTGACTTCTCAGCGGGTCTTGCAGATGAATAAACTGTGTGAAGCCACTACTATGGCAGTGCAAGAGAGGGATGCAGTGACATCTGTGTTGTGGCAGGAGGGTTCCTGTGTCCTTCATGTAAGGGTGTTGTCCACGGTGTTCATGGCCAGCTGTTCCCCAGTATCTTAGAAGTATTAATGAATAGGGAAGTGATAATTTCAGCCTTAAATTTTCTGCATCATAACTAGTCTGTACAGCTACAGAATATCCTAAGAAATCGCATGATATTGCATAAACTCAGTGAAAAAAAGGGTTATAGACTTATAATAATGAACACTGAGCTTTGTTCAAGAAATATGTGGAGTACACATGTGTTTATTCCAGACAGCTACAACTGGTCTGCCTGGCTGTCTCTTTGCTGGTATAACATCCCCCTTGAGAACTGACTGCCTCTGAGTGCAGGGGTCGGGCTGTGCCCGCCAGCCACGCATAGTGCCCCGGACTGTATAGCCTGCGCCTAAGGAAACAACTCATATAATCACCACATTACATTCCCATAAACCTGCCACGCCAGAGCAATTCCTTTGTTTCCAGCTCATAAAGATTTCTGAATTTGCTCAGCCAAGTGTAAACAGGAGGCGTCTGGGAAGGCCTTTCTCCCCCCATGGGGTGCCTGCGTGTCTCCTCGCAGTGCTGCAGCCCTGGCTGACTTCCTCGGCGATAAGCTAAGAGCCTGTAACAAACCAGGAATTAATGATCCTTCCCGAGCAGAGTTTCTCTGGGTATCTATTGATACACTATTAGCAAATATTTTGCATGTTGCAGGTTGGTTTTGTGACTAGAGTTGGACCAGTGCTGGTGGAGGGGAGTCCTTGGGGTCATTAGTCTGTCCCCCTCTTTCATGGGGAACTGGTTACAGTGCTAGGTTGGGGCAGATGTGGCTGTCTGGTCAGATCTTAAAATCTGGGATTTCCATGAACTTTCTGGTTGGCCCCATCCTGTGTTTCCCTACCTTCTTATTCAACTGATGCCGGGGAGTTAGCACAGAAGGAGCTGAGCCAAAGCCTCTGTGAAAGAAATTGGCTTTTTGAGGACTTTGTCTCTATTGGATGCAGCCTTGTTTTGACAAGGCAGTTACAGGGGCTGAGGAAGCTTTCTTACCTTATAGTGCCCACTCTTCTTGAACTTCTGGTGTATGGACTGATAGGCTGAGAGCATGATGAAGCCCGGGATCAGGAAATTGAAAATGGACAGCGCAAAAAGGAATGTGATATAGCTTCTGGAAAGGGGGGAGGAAAAGAAGGTAGTTAATTCCTCTCTAGCATGTCTCTGTAAACTTGCTGTGAATATCTGTTAGCTTGTACTTTTCAAGACCAGTTTTGGCAATGCGTTTTAGGTGCAGCACCTGCTGAGGGCCAGTTAAGTCATGCTGTGCCGGTGTGTGCAGGGTGGGTAGTATTGTAGAAAATCACAGCAGGTGTTTGGTTTCCAAACCCAGGCATCCCTACTCACACAGCTGTGCTGAACTGTGTAAACCCAAAATCATTCTGAAGGAGTTTCAAGCACTAAACCCAGAAAAGAAGCAGCTTATAGATGAGGAAGGGAGCAGCAGGCACTGGTCTCTCCTGGGGAGGGAGCTGGCTTTGGCTGCTCCCAGGTGCTGCCATG